ATATCATTCAAATCAAGGTTGGCAAGAAACTTTGAAAACTTTATATATATGTCGCAGCCGCTCGTGATTTTCAGCCGCTAGTGATTGAATCACCATCGGCTAGCCGCTAGTGATTCAATCACGATCGGCTAGCCGATGGTGATTGAAAGTTTTTAATGAAACATTTGGAATACAATGCAGATTTATCTCACATGCAAATAAAAAAGTTAGGACCAAATATTTTAACACCTCGGGAGGTAACTTCTGTTGCCAAATTCGAAAAATGATGTCATCTAAATGAAAATAAATTTTGCTTAATATTTTTGCTTTATGAATTGCAAGTTTTATTCACTTTTCAAAAATTTAATTTATTGCAAACATGTAATAAGCAAACAAGCTTAACAACAAAAAAATTAATTAGCAACTTCCCTAAGGTGCAACACAACAATGCTAGAACAAAATTAAGTTTAACTAAAAAATAACTAAAAATTAAATGTTACTTGTTTGAGCAGGGATTGCTGTTGTGACATCGACTGTTGCACAAAACGTTCGACTTGTGGCATACACATCGACCATTTACGCATCCAAATCCTCATCTGGTACTGATTGCAAATCGATCAGATCCACTTGGGCCCGCTCGATTTGTTGTTTGGTGATGATTGGCTTGACAACGACTCCTTTTCTCGGCGTGCCTTTCTTCAATTCACATTCAGAACAGAGTTTGACAAAAATCTCGATGATATCCTTCGATATTCCCTTAGTGCTTTCCACATTATGTTCCTTCCAGGGTGTCCATGATCCTTGTGTGTTTTCATCAACACTTCAAAGAGATTTTCCTTGATGATCACCCGTTTCATTTCTCCGGTTCTTCCAATGTTGTAGATGATGTCCAGATCGTTCTCCTTTTGCAAAGTAAAGCGCGCCAACAAATGTATTTCTTCAGGAGTCCTTTTTCCTTTTGTATCTTCACTGGTTATTCGTTTATATTGTATCCAATTGTATTTCTTCGTAGATTGATGTTGCGTAAGGCGATCGACAAATTTACTTTCCATTTCTAAAAAAATAACTAGAAAAGTTGCAACGATAAATCGAAAAAAAGAAACGATTGAAAAATTATTACTCAACTATTACTTAAAATAAAAATTATTACTCATTAAACACCGAAGAAAGTAATAGTTTGTGTCTAAAAGATGGAATGAGTGGCGTTGTCTTAAATTTTTTTTTTGAAAACATCTTTTTAAAAAGATTTGGCAACAGAAGGCAACAATTTGACAACGGAAGTTACCTCCCGAAGTGTTAAAATATTTGGTCCTATTAACCTAAGTGTTTTATTTGATAAATCTGCATTGTAATCGTGAGATAAATCAACATTGTATTCCAAATGTTTCATTAAAAAAACTTTCAATCACCATCGGCTAGCCGATCGTGATTGAATCACTAGCGGCTAGCCGATGGTTTCAATCACTAGCGGCTAGCCGATGGTTTCAATCACTAGCGGCTAGCCGATGGTTTCAATCACTAGCGGCTAGCCGATGGTGATTCAATCACTAGCGGCTGAAAATCACGAGCGGCTGCGACATATAAATACTTTATTCAGAAAGAAATAAAGTGCGAAAACGACATGAAAAATGTACTAGATATAAGATCACAAAGTCACTTAAAATGCAACGAAATAGCCCCTTTTAAAATCAGACACTGTGGAGATCAAACGCAACTTGTCGGGAAGGGCATTTTGCTAAAGCAAAGTTTGCTAAATCTTTTCTTGATTTTCTTTAGGATTTTCTGGATTAAGGATTTCTTTAGGATTGAGGATTTTCTTCATTTTCTTGATTTTCTCGACCTTAATCCAATTAAGCTCAATTTGATATCATTCAAATCAAGGTTGGCAAAAAAATAAATACATTTATTAAAAACCAATAATGTGATAAAAAAAAGGATACATAATAAGACATAATAAGATCATTTTATGGCACTGCGGTCATCGTTATCCCCATTACCCCTATTACCCAAATGTTGTGAAAGAAAAAAACTCACTTTGTGAGAAAAAGAAACATTTTGATCTTGCCAGCGTGATTGAACCCTCAACCTTCCGCTTAAGAGACAAGACTCCTAACCAGTCGGCCATCTGGTCAAAAATGACCTGACAAAAAAAGCCAAATACCAATGTTAGCTAAGCTAAAGCTTGGCTTTGCCTTGATTTTCAACTGAATTTGGTCAAAAAAAAAACGTTGGTTTTACTTGCAATTGTAAAAGTAGTTGGCTTAGCTTTTAAGTAAAAGTAAATAGCTAGTAAATAGTAACTAGTAAATAGTAAAAGTAAATAGCTTAGCTTTTGCTAGTTTCCTTTTTTTCTTCTCAACCGAAATTCGAACGACTAAAGTGGTTCTACTACAAAAGAAACGATTCATATGCTACACATACTTCGTACCCTTCACATTTCTTATGATTTTAAGGATTATTTTTGCTTAAATAGATTTTTTTACCGCTAAAATCTCATTCATACCCAGCCAAATTTTTGTCAATTTTTTTTTTCCTCCTTTCACCGATTGCCCCGATGACCTTTTTTCGCGCCAATTCTCTGTCCAGATTTGACCTCTCTAGCAGCCAAAATATTTGCAATTATCAGAAAAAAGAAGACAGTTTGAATTTTCAAGCTAGAATCGACTTTAATCTTTGTCTATTATTTGCTTTTTTTTGTTTTAAATACTATAGAAATAAATGATTTTATAAATCATCTTATAAATGATTTTATAAATGATTTTATAAATGATTTTATAAATTATCTTATAAATCATCTTATAAATCATCTTATAAATCATCTTATAAATCATCTTATAAATCATCTTTGTTATCAAATCTTTTCTTTTCCGTCGTAGCCGACCGAATAGGAGGCTTGTCTCCTAGTCGGGAGGTCAAAGGTTCGATCCCGGCGGCCAGAAAAATTGGTTCTTTTTCCCATCATAGGTTTTTCATTATGGGTTTTTTTCTTAACAGCATTTGGGTAATAGGGGTAACAAAGGGTAAAAATTTCCTCCGTTGTGTTGTAAAATTGACGTGTCGAAATTCATTATTCGTGTCGAGTAAACATACTTTCTTTTCCTCATCACTGACGAACCGTACTTGAACGAGAAACCGAAATAAGAGCCCACAATGAAAACAAATCGAAAACCCGTTTGAGGTGAGAAAGATGCCCATTAATTCCTTTCATTGAACTTGTTTATCGGTAGCGTATCGGTGAACAAATTTGGAATATTTTCTTTTACTTATTGAACATTCAAATCCCTTCTCTTATAGCTAATCTTTTTGTGAGAAAGTTTCGGATATTCTGTTTTGAAAATATTCTCTATAAAGAATCTCTATAAAGCCAATTTTCCGCCTTCAATATCCCCCTGAAATACCGTATTCTCTCTAATAGTAGTGCGCACTACTATTTTTTCAATCCCCTCCTGGACCGCAATACTATTAAATAGTTTTATCATTTACCAAAGTAAGACAGATATAAGATTTGTTCCAAAAATTCTTGCAACTCTTTCACGTACTCCTTTGGCTCCTTTTGACATGCAGTTGTGGGCCGGCGAGTTGACAATTTGTGTGTTGACAAACAACAAAAAGATGTTTTTGCCTTTTGCACAACAATTTTAGATTTTTTGCTAACTTTTTCATGTGAAGAATAGTTAATAAATGAATAAAAAAAAGCCACACTTTTGCTTGCTTGAATAGCTTTAGAATGTCACATAAACATAAAGTCAAAAAGGTTTAAATGAAAAAGAAGCACCAGAAATTCAAATTTTCGTGGGTGCACTACTATTTTTTCAACCCCCTCTCGGACCGCAATACTATTAGAGAGTGCACTACTATTAACACGTTGACGACAATGACGTTTTTGCACAAACAATCGCATGGGACAACGTTGTTTTTTTTTCGACAAAAAATGTCACCTGACATCAGGTGACAATGTCCCACAGAGTTCTTTTTCAACGGTTTCGACAAAATCGACATTTCGAAATCGGACATTTTCCGGGACCAAGTCGAATATAGATACTACCCTACTTGCTTATTTAATATCCATCATCAGCAAACATAAATATGCACAAAAAAAATCAATTTTGGTACTGTCACCTGACATCAGGTGACAATGTCCCAGGCGAACGAAGATCAGAACGAAGATCAGGTGAAGAAAAGAACAAAAATCAGGCGACAATGTCCCAGGCGAACGAAGATCAGAACGAAGATCAGGTGAAGAAAAGAACAAAAATCAGGTGACAATGTCGTCCCAGGCGAACGAATATGTGTCAGACAGCATCAGGTGCCAATGTCGTCAACGTGTTAAAGAGTGCACTATTATTAGAGAGAATACGGTATTCTCTATAAAGAATCTCTATAAAGAAGATTTTAAGAGATAAATCTATAAAGAAAATACTTAAAAATCTTTCAAAAAGACCTCTAAAAACTGAAAAATCAGAGCTGAGATTTGTCCTTTCAAACTCATTTTCTTTTTGTTTATTTATTTCGTTTTTTTTCTTTCTAGAGTTTGAGAAATTTATGATATTCTAATTGTAAGGAAATTCTAAAATTCAATTTATATTCAATTTTTATTTACAAATCTATTTAAACCTTTAAACTATCTATTTAAGCCTTTAAACTATCTATTTAAATTCAAAGCCTCAAAGATCAGTGCTAAGATTTGCCCTCTCAACTCATTTTCTTTTTGTTTCTTCTTCTTTTTTTCCATTCTTTTGACTCTTACCTCAACTGAACACTGAATCAAGTTCCAACTCGTCAACAATATGTCAATATACGAAATCTTTAAGTTGTTCTCGTTATAAATAGTACCTATAAACTTTTCTTAATCCCAAGAAATCCCAAGAAATTCACAAGTTAACTTTTAAATTTATATTTTTCTGTAAAATCTATTCAAATCAAATTTTCATATTTTGTTCTTATCGAAATCAAAATCTCTTTTATTTTTAATTGCTTTGAAATCTCTGAAATCGATGAAATTTGAAGTAATGGTTCGACAAATGTATCACGAGCAACGTGGCCACATCACACTCGTCACTGGACCCATGTTCTCCGGGAAAACGTTTGTTCTAATGAAACAAATAAGGACAATAAGGACTAAAACTCCCAAAATAGCATACTATTTATTATCAGGATTGTCCAAAATGCTTTTTTTGCCGGCTTAGACAAGAAAACATAGCCTGGTAAAGGGCAGCGAAAAGCCAGTTCTGGCCCACAGGTCGAGTTCTCCAGAGGTTATCGAACATTTGATACGCGCCCCCTTTTCCCATTAATCCAACTTTGAGCTCAAATATCTTGATGTTGGGCTATCGAATTTAAATATTCTTTGTATCATTAAATGCGCCAAGTCTTTCTCTATCGATTGGTAGAAAAACTTTTTAAATTGCACAGCCAAGGAAATTGAGTTAGATTGTCAATGGAAAAGGGTAGCAAATGTCCCACAAAATAGGGACATTTGAGTCTAACTCAAATTCCGAACACCAAGGAATTTGAGTTAGATTGTCAATGGAAAAGGGTAGCAAATATCCCACAATCTTCTCCAAAAGCTAACCTTAAACTTGATTTCTAGCTTTATCTGATCTGGTTTGGGTCACAGTTGAAACATCCCTAACATTATTGATGCAGAATAACAACAGTTTTTTTCTTTTCTTTGACAGAAACTGGCATTAACAGTAGAGTGTGTTCCTTCCAAGTAAGTAATTACTCGAGTAAAATTTACATGAGTCATTTTTACTCGATTAATCGATTAATTTTTGGCCGACTAACTACGAAGTAATCCTCTTTACACGTCGAGTAAATTGAATATCTTTACACTTGACGGGAATTTTCCACCAAATCAGTTAAACAGCTGAATATCTTGAAAAGGAATCGTATATAAGTCGGCGCTCGTGATTTTTTTTGCAATAATTTCCGCTACGATAAAAGTACGATAATTTTTCCCAAGTGTGCGTTTTAAAAAACTCGCGAGGAAAACACTCTAATTAACAGTATGGTTTCAATCTCTAATTAACAAGTGACTCAATCTATTCTGTGCTTTTCCTAAAAGTTCCAAGCTACCTGTGAAATTTTAAATAAATAAAAAATGAAGAACTTTTAGCACAGAATTGCTTCGATTGCACGGCCGTCAACAGTTGGCCGGCAAAAGATGTGTGTTGGTGAAATACGCGAAAGATACGAGATACGACGAGAATCTCATCGCCACACACGACAAGTTAGTAGTAGTCAGAGTTAGTAGTCACACACGACAGGTTAGTGGTAGTCAGAGTTAGTAGTCACACACGACAGGTTAGTAGTAGTCAGAGTTCGTAGTCACACACGACAGGTTAGTAGTAGTCAGAGTTCGTAGTCACACACGACAGGTTAGTGGTAGTCAGAGTTAGTAGTCACACACGACAGGTTAGTAGTAGTCAGAGTTCGTAGTCACACACGACAGGTTAGTAGTAGTCAGAGTTCGTAGTCACACACGACAAGTTAGTGGTAGTCAGAGTTAGTAGTCACAGACGACAAGTTAGTTGTTATCAAAAGTCAAACTAAAGTTTATACTATAGGCATAAAGATCGAGAAAATGAATTTCCAGGCACAAGAGCCTCTCAAATACGATCAAGGCAAACGAGTTGCAGGAAGTTTACGGGGAAATGTTCGATGAGGCGGTTGACGTTGTGGCCATTGATGAAGGGCAATTTGTGAGTGATAAAGATCAAAAAGAAGATTTCAAAGCAATTTTTCAGTTTTCTGATTTGGCGGACACATGCGAGCGATTGATGAGAGCGAGAAAAATCGTGATCGTCGCTGCGCTAAATGCGCGTTTCGATCGAAAGGTTTGCGAGTGTGCTTTAACTTTAAAGTGCTTGGAAATGATAGAAAACAAATCGTACAGAGTGATCCAAAATTATAGCAACTCTGCTTTTCTTGATGTGACTCGACAGTCCGCTGTTTATTTCTCTCAGAATATTTTTTAAGCATTAAACTGACACTATCGACAACAAGAGAAACTTTGGGTTTTGACTGAAAATGTTTTTATTAATTCCTTGCATTCTTGGCTACATGATGGGTGAAACAGTTTTTAAAAAAAGTTAATATTTCATAGATAAAAAGAGCACTCAAAATGGGTCTCTAAAGATTTTCAGTTAACCAACTGAGTATCACTTGACACACATTTTGAGCGCTCTTTTTATCTATGAAATATTAACTTTTTTTAAAAACTGTTTCACCCATCATGTAGCCAAGAACGCAAGGAATTTTTTGATATAAAACTTGAACCGGCTTGGTTTTTTGGATTTAGAGAAATTTGACGGCGCTGTTTTGAACGTTTTCTATTATGGCACTGTTTTAAACGTTTTCTATTATGGCGCTGTTTTGACTACCCCCAAAAAAAGAACCTGGAAAACTAGTGACAATGGCAGAGTCGCCGGGGCGATTAGTGCATCACAACTTTAAAGAATCGTATCGTAATTTTCCAAAAAAGCTTTTCCAACCAAAAGCAACGTTTCTATCGTAGGAAATCATGTCAATTTCAATTTTAAAAAACATTCAAAACAGAATGGATAACTGGGTTTTCCGAGAGAGACAAAAAATGTTGAGTTGCTAGTATTTTAAACCACCCTATAGTAAGATAAACTATAATATTTAGGCTTTCGAGCAAGTTGCTCTCCTACAACCAAACGCCAACGAGATCACACTTTTGACAGCCGTTTGTGATTGCGGAGAAAACGCAATCTTCACTCACCGTAAAAGTGCCGCCACTGAGGTAAAGAAAAAGCATGAATTTTGAGTAACAAAGGTATGACTTTAGAATTGAGAATTGTATTGATGAGAATTGTATTGATGTTAGAATTGAGAATTGATTGTTAAGCAATAGTTGACAAAGATCTAAGTGCAAACTAAAAGGTTTAAATCTTGATTTTCTTATCGATTAATTATGGATACTTGCATCAATATTTAAAGCCTCAGCATCAATATTTAAATCCACCCCGTAGACGAAAGAAATCCATTCCGTAAACGAAAGAAAGCCTTTCACACAAAGCAATCCAATGCATACCGTAAATACTGTAATAGTACCGCACCCCCATAATGACGGTGCGGAGCGTTGGGTAGTCTAGCTTTGGACGTGTTTTTCTCGACACTGCTTTATGCTACAATGCTCGCTTAGGTATCAAAAAATAGCTGAAATTCAGGGCTATTTTTTGATATTAAAGTCGCATTTTTTGAAAGTACGGGTGGTTTGAAAAAAATGAAATACAAAAAAAACTTTTACGACTACGCGACTGTACGAGGGGGGAGTGGGGTACTATTACAGTATTTACAGTAAGTTTTCAGGAGGAGTTGATCGGCGGAAAAGAAGTCTACAAAGCTTGTTGTCGCGAGTGTTACTATAAAGCTGAATCCGAGATGCACGACGGGGAAAATATTTATCCAAAGAAAATGGTTGACGATTTTTTCATGACTTCAACACGATTGCATATCTCGCCCGAAAAGGTTAGGAAAGCTTAAGAAAGTAACGACTAAATGGTATTTGTTTAAAATGTAAATTTCCAGGGGTTTCCTTAGAGACAATTGACAACGAATTGATTTGTAGATTGGATAAGCGTTGAAATCATTACCCAAAAAGCCTTTCCAGAAACCCCGTCTGGATGGTCGTCCACTTTCGCCTCGAACTGCCTCTAAAAATGGACACTAATACCACTTATTCATTTTTATCTATTCTTTTACCATTCCAAATTCGATGTGCAAACACATTCCCAATTCATTTTCACCAAATTTTATTCTTTCTTTGATTGATTGAGATTGGATTCTTTCATTACCCACCGGTTCTTTTGATTTACTATTGTGTTCTTTCACTCTTTCTTGATCTGCATTTTGGTGCTTTTGCGTCGACAAAATCGTTAAATGATCATAAATTTATCAGAGAACAAGCATCAAAAATTACAATTTTCAACAACAATCACAATGTATAACAAGCAATAAATAAACGAAAATTCGAAACTCGCTAAACTAACTCTAAATGCACAATTTAAAATGAGCAAAATTCAACAAAAATCCCTATTTTCTTAACCTATCGCCTTCACTGCTTTGGTGGCAGCCTCGTTGAGATCATTGGCAGAAATCACAGGAAGTCCACTCTCAGCTATCAGTCGTCTTGCCTCGTCAACATTTGTTCCTGAAAAACACAAAAACTCATAAAATACACTTTTTGGTGGTCAAATTTGATGCCGTCGCATCTCAGTCGATGCGCATTACGGGTACAGTACGATTTCAATGAGTGCACACGAATGGCATCAACCGGGACGCCGAAACAGCCGAAACTAGGGAGGAAACGGGGGCTAAAATGCTTTAAAATTAGTAGAAATAGTACAGAAATAGGCTAGCGGGAATAAAGGGTGTATGCAGGGAGGAGAAGAACGGTGACCCCGCGCGTAAATGGGCGCGCGACAGCGGCGGACGCACCCTGGCACCACGCCCCGCCTCACAACACACACCACCCTGAGGCCCCGCCCCCAACCAATTTCAAACGAAGGAGAGTGTGTGGGAAAGAGAGAGACACAGCCAGCCCCTCATTCTCCTCTCTCATCACCCCTTGGGACATCAGCCAAGCACCCTTCCTTTCTTACAAGTTCTAGTACGACGCACCCTGAGCGGACACAACCCCGATAGGGTTCCTCGATCGATCCGAGAGAGATAGCACAAGGCTAAGAGAGCCCAATGAGACGAGAGTGCAGACTGAAAGACTAGTAAAGACCAGCACAGCAGCCGGCACCAAGTACCCACCCCTCGACAAGGGGACGGGAGGGATGTAACGTGGAACACCCCACTAAGAGCCACCCCAACAGCTGCTACCCAATTGGAAACCCCCAAGGGGATGCGAAATGAGGGACCGGAGGGTGGGTGCACGGAACTCTTATAGAATTCATTGGAAATTTCGGCAACTGGGGTACTAAAGCTTTTCGTTGGTTAAAAATGAATAAAAATTTGCATACAAACCTTCTAGGCGCACAACCAATGGGACGGTGAGTGTGATTCGACGGCTAGCAGCAACAATCCCTCGAGCTATCGTCGCACAGTTAACGATTCCACCAAAAATGTTGACCAACACACATTTCACCTAAAGTTTTACATCTTTTCACTTCTCCGCTGATAATCTTTCACTTAAAATCTCTAGGACTGTACGGTCGGTGGTGGGTCGTTTTCTGCTTGCTAAAAGCTTCAAGTAGCTTATGCAAATTTGTGGGCGCAGACTGTTGATAATCCGCATGCTTTTCTAGAGAGCTGGCTGGTGGAAGAGGGTCGGAATGCACGGAATGCATATGCAGTCTTTAGAGGGGAGACCGCTGGAAAGGAGAAGGATGGTGGAAAAGAGAAGGTCGGTAAGGAAAAGAGAAAAGGGTAAAGGGAGTGACCGGAAACTGTCTTCGATTTGCGCATTCAGCATCACCAATTGGCGGTCAATCGGTGACATGTGATCGAGGACACCACTAGAACCCTTCTCACTCCACTTTCCACTTCTCTATTCGATCACAACTACCCTCATAATCATGAGAGAGTCGGGGGTGAAGGAGGCCATTTGAGATGAACGCCCATTGCGCAACCCTCTCGGGTCATGACACAAATTTGGATAGCAAGAGTTGTGGTCATTTATAATTTAGTGGATTGAAAATTCTCAAAATTGAGCTATTGAGCCTAAAGCCCGTCAATAACCAATTTCTGTGCTCGTTTTATATTCCCACTCACTTAAAGCCTCAGCATCTTTCCGGTCCAAATGAAGCACCAATTGGATATTTATTTTCTGCGTGTCTCGACTCTCGCCCAATACTCTCCACTCTCGGTCGGTCCAGTACCCCTCCCGGCACCACCAAGGCACGTGGCCGCCCTCCTCCCGCTCCTAGTCTCCCCAAGAAGAGATGACTGGAAAGAGGACGGGACATCTAAAAGCGAGGGACCAAGGCTGGGAAATTGTAATAAAAAGAAATTAAAATATCCTTGAAAAGTGCTCCAGAGTGCACAAAACTTTTGTATCCTTTTTAAATGCAAAAACTACATTTAAAAAGCTTTTGGTGGTCCTCAAGACTTTTGTGGATCATCTTTGTACATCGGTTTGCGCTCTCAAAGCCGTTTAAAAGACTGGTAACCACCTATCTTGCAATCCTTTGGTGGAAGAGCAATCTGTCATTCGAGTCATATGAGAACACATTCGGGATAAAGAGGGAACGGGGACGAAGGTGACCTGACCTATGAGGATTATCTCGAGAGACGCCCCAGTAACGCCTCAATGGCTCCTTTAAGGACACCCCATCCACCAACCTATTTGCGCTATTAGTAACCTAATGCCATTATAAACTCCCATTGCTGCAAGAAACTTGAGTAGAAGAAACCCCAAGAGATCAACAAATGATTGGCACACAGTTAAAATAAACGATAAAATAAAAAAAGATAAACGATACCTGGGGATCTGAAGTAATAATTCTAAACGCTTGAAATACACCTTCTTCCGTCACAGCACCTGAATCAACTTTAAATTTTATTCAAAATCATGCAACTACCTCCCACATCTAAGAAATTGGCCGGCTTTCCTCCGTGTTGAAAAATTATATCCATCGTTGCCATCGCCAAACCAGCGCCATTAACTAAAAACATTTTCAGGATGTAAGAAAATATTTTTCTTCACCTAGACAAGCAATATTTCCATCCATTGGAATATAGCTGAGATTGTACTTATGTGCATCAAGTTCACGTGGATCCTAGAAAATTGATCCTAGAAAAGATGGATCCTAGAAAAGATGGATGATATGATAAAATACTCACTAAATCTGAACGATCACCCATCGCGAAAATTTCCTTCTGTCGGAACTCGGCGCTATCATCAAAAGTCATCTTGGCATCGACACAATAAACTAAAATATTTTTTGTTTTAAACTACAGAGTGCGGCAAAATTATGGAATGGATGCTTAATTGATGAATTAAAAGAAGAAAATGAAGAGAGTACTCCGAGTGTCACATATCATTTGAAAGCTCTTAATGGATACTACAAAATAGAATAGCTAAATCAACAATTTGTGCCAATCATGGAACAATTCAAGGACCTGAACGTGACACTCCTCAAAAAGATGATCTTCTGTTTTAACGCCAACTAGACCATTTATTATACTGCTTCTATCTGCATTAAATACCGAAATATGAACCTCACCAATTAGTACATACACTTAAGAAAAAGTTCTGATTGTTGATTTAGCTATTCTATTTTGTAGTATCCATTAAGGGCTTTCAAATGATATGTAACAATCGGAGTACTCTCTTCATTTTCTTCTTTTAATTCATCTTTTAAGCATCCGTATCCTATACCCATAAATTTGAAATTTTTACCTTTTCCATCAGCGGTTTCTACAAATGGATTGATTTCAACTTGAGTAGCATCAACGGATAGGCACAACTCGTATAGTCTTCGGATTTGGTCGGCCGCCTAAAAATTAGGCTTTCAAGAAATCGTGAAACTTCACGTGGTTTCTATTTTCTTGTACCATGTTTTTGCATGCTTATATGTCAACCGAAAAAACATGAGTATAATTACTGCCAAAATTTCTCCTACATGCTTCCATTAAGGATTTAAAACTTGCCATTTCCATTAACGGTCCCTTAAATTCCAAGTTTCTCGCCAGTCTCAGTGCTTGTTCGTTCGTTAATCCAACGTCAATGTCAATGACTTCCTAAAAACTGGTACTATGTTAAAAAAAACTTTAATTCTACCTTGAATATCAATTCGGGATTTTTCTCCGCAACTTCTTCAATGTCAACTCCACCAGCAGGGCTTGCCACTACAACCTAAAACGTAATATAAAATCGAAATATTTTAAAAACTGAATTAGGAACGTTAAAATTAAAAACGTACGGGTCCATTGCTATCGCGATCAAGCAGAACAGCAAGATACGTTTCTCTTTTGATTTCAACTCCTTCCGCAATCATCACCTAAAACGAAAGATTAAGGCATTGGGTTGGGAAGAATGAAATGACTTTAAAGACACTTTTTGCACGCATAAAGCCTTCTTTAAATATACATTTTGTTTCATCAAAAGGGTCCACTATTTCTCTACAAAATGACTTTTGAGAGATTTCACAAAGCTTTTCTTTCGTAGAGTTTATGGACTCCCAAACACAGCTAATCAAAATGACAAAGAGTTCGACTCAAAGAGGCAAAGAGATCGTTTAAACAGTTTCTTCCACATAAACCTCCTTTCGTGTCTAAATAAAAAAGATAAAGTACACTCAATTACATAAGTTGCCAAATTTTCAGGAAGATCCTTCCAACTGTTTTCCCTAGATGGCAGCTTATAAATTTTGTGAAAAAATGGACGATTCAAAGATCCAAAGTTGAGCTGAGGCGCTGCTTGAGTTCTCTTTTAAATGTCATTTTGTAGAGAATTAGTTAACCTTTCTACTGATATCAAACGCTTTTCATTTGACGAAGTCTACGAGAAGTTTTAGAAATTTCTTTGATTTTCGGCGCCATTTCATTCTCCCCAACCCAATAATTAAGATTTATATATAATAAACTTATCAACTCATACAAGAAACGGCAAAAAGAACTTAAAGCCTAAGCCACATACTTTTTCAACGAGAACTCCAGCTTTGGGCGTCTGTTTTGTGACCAATTTTCGCCCCACCATCTCGGGCACCGAATCGAGAGCCGCCTTTTTGCTAAAAAATTCTGGTAACAGTAAAAATAACTAAATATACTTGTGCGTTATGTAGACGCCTCCAAGATCTTTAGGCCCACCAACGAATCGACCTTTCCCTCGTCCACCGGCCAGAATTTGCGCTTTCACCACGTATTCATCTAAAAATAAAACAGAATTCTCAATTTAATACTTTTCAAGTTAAAGACTTCTTTATCCAACAAGAAGTTGTATATCTTTATCCAAAGTGTTCGGTAAAGCGTGAGATAATTTGATAAAACCATTTGGATAGAATTTGGCATAGAATAATTATCAATCATCAATTCTTGCTTATCCAAAGCGTTAAATCTGATAATAATGCCTGATATTTATGCAATTTGCTAATGTCAAATTCTATTCAAAGCATTTCAACTTTAAATTCAGCCTTGAATGGCTTTAAATTGTAAAGCCAGGCTTGAAGTTATCGTAAAATTTGCAAAACGAACCAAAATGTTTCCCATCGAGCTTCTTCTCAGCCTCATTTCGTGACTCAGCGACGACGAATTTTTGCACAATGCATCCGTGTTTATCGAGGAGTCCTTTACTTTGATATTCTTGTAGACTGAGTGCTCGTTGATTCTAAAAAAGAAAAATAATGGTTATTAAAATGAAATTCTCACCTTGAACCACACTTGTGCCACCCGTTGAAGGCCGATGTGGTGTCGCAGCATATATTTCTGAAAAAACAACAAATTTATAGCCAAGTTGAAAGTTTTAAAAGAACTTTATAAGAATGTAAAGCTTTGAAAGGTTTACAAACTCCAGCATTGAAAATTACGTTGTTTGGCGCAACGTGTTTGCGGGGATTCTAAAGAAAGAAAGGGATCTTATTTCGGAGAAAGGGATAAAAGTGCACCTTTGTAGATCATTTCGACGAGAAGTTGAATTCAAAAAATTTAACCTCATCAATTAAGCCTTTAAAACATTACTTTTGGTATTATTGGCTTTGGGAGGGGACACCTTTACGCTAAAACCACTAAAACCTGGGGTAATCGATTACGCTGAGCACAAATATGACATTTTTAGAGTAGCTTTTTAATAAAGGACGCAATTAGAATTCTTCAAATTTTGCAAAAATAAAGAATTTTGAGCATTTTAACTACAAATTTCTTTTTTTAAATGAAATTTACAGGTTTTCATGCAAATTTTAGCTTATTTTTCAAGAATTGACAGGTAAACTAACCTAGTTAACGTACTTAACGTACGTACTTAAAAACTAAAACTTAAAAACGTACTGCTGTAGAAAAGAATTTTCATGAAATTTGCATGAAACCTTTTTTAAAATTTCATTTAAAAAAGGAAATTTGTAGTTAAAATGCTCAAAATTCCTTATTTTTGCAAAATTTTGGGGGTGGGACAAATGCGACCTTTTTTTGCGCACCTGGACATTTGCGCACCTTTTTTTTGCTGGAAAAGGCCTTAGGCAAGGCCCTAGAGCTTCGAAAATATTTCGAAAATTTTCCCATATAAGGGAATCGTATGCGTAGATTCCGAATTTCGACAAATCAGACCTCGCTGACACGTCAAATTTGGGCTAAAAGGCAAAAACTGCGGAAAAGCGTTAAGTTGCGTAGTTTTTGCCCTTTAGCCCAAATTTGACGTGTCAGCGAGGTCTGATTTGTCCAAAATTCTGAATCTACGCATACGATTCCCTTCTATGAAAACATTTTTGAAGCTCTAGGGCCTTGCCTAAGGCCTTTTCCAGCAAAAAAAAGGTGCGCAAATGGCCAGGTGCGCAAAAAAAAGGTAGCATTTGTCCCACCCCCAAAATTTTACAATACAAGTGTTGAGCCAAATGAACCTATTGGAGCTCTCTGAGAAATTGCTACTACCCGACGAGGATTTTGGGGATTTGTTCGACACTATAGAGTTATTACATCAAAAAGGTAATTAGATAAAAATAATTAAGCGATATCATGACCTCAGCTGCCAATCAAATGGGTTGCTATACAGATTTCCTTCAGGAATTTATGTGACGACAAGAATTTGGAAAAGATCCCGTCTATAAAATGCTCAAAATTCCTTATTTTTGCAAAATTTGAAAAGATCTAATTGCGTTTTTTATTAAAAATCTACCCTAAAAATGTCATTTTTGTGCTCAGCGTACTAAATAACCCCGGGAAAAGTGGTTTTGACGAAAAAATAAAGTGCCCCCCTAATAGTACCCTACTTTTTTTCTGTTAATACCGAAGGAAACCCATTTTGTGTAAACTTTTCTAACATTTTTGCTGCCAAGTGACATGGTGGTGGTCAAAAAAACCGATGTGACCCCAAGATTTGAATGACATCAAATAGTCGGAGAAAGGGTGTCTCTCGTTTTTCACCGACTTGCACGCTTTTTTCGTGTTTGCCATCGAAAAGGGAGAGCTGCCGTCGATGATCGTTTTGTGTGTATCGACGGGGGTACCAGACCTTCCTCTCTCTCTCTCTATCTTTCTCTTCCACCAATCCGATTGACGGGAGCCGATCGAATGTGGAGAAGAGTGGATGGAAAAGAGCTTTCACTGGCACAAAACGAGAAGAACAGATCTCGATCCCCTCCACCCCGGGTATTCTGATATCGACACCCGGGCAGATCACCCGCCTTTCCCCCTCTACCGGTTCTATTGACTGTCTGTATGCTTGTCATACTGCCACTGGTTTCACTATCCTCTCACCTTTTCTTTTTTTTTTCGCATATGCAACATTTTCGAGACTTAATCGAGATCTCCCATTGATCCCAATAAATAGTACTAATCCTAGACTTTGATTTTTCTTCGAATCAAAATTAGCTTAGTTCATTGCTGAGCATTGCTCGCTGAGCTGCTGTGATGAGCTCATTGCTGAGCATTGCTGAGATGAGTTTAGCTCATTGACAAATTTAGTACTTGTCCTCTTTCTTGTACATTTATTATCTCATTGACAGTACATCAATGTATTGTATCTAAAAGTGTTTAAAGATGCTTCAATGCTTCAAATCTGCTGCTTTAATTAAGAAAATTTCGAAGTTATCCGGTTTTGATGTCTCAATATTCATGTCATACTGTAAAATTGCAATGTAAAGCTCAAATTCGATTCATGTCATTCTCGAAAAAAACTGCAGAGGTCCAGAAATCCAGTCTCGATCTTTCCCACGCACGATGAGACCCAATCTTCCATCTTTTTTGTACTCTCTTGTGTTTTTCATGCCTTTCTTCCAGTCTCGTTTCTTTACGAAAAATGGTTCACCGTTCATCATCGTTTTGTCGTTTGAAGTCTCTGGAGTAACTCTAGAAGTCCTAGAAATGTGGTCTTAAACTTTACGTTCTAACTTTACAGACAAAATTTTACCATGCTGGACACGCGAGTCTTTTTAGGAAGCTGGGAAAAAAAAACATGGTCGGTGCTGGGATTCGAACCCGCGATCTTTGGCTTACCAATGTGCTTACCAATGGCTTACCTCTTTGGCTTCGGGCGAACGCTTTACCAATGTGCTAGACAGATATCCCTTTACCGACAGGATAGGATCTTATACCTTACTTGACGACAAAATCTTACAAAACCTGATCTCAGGCTTGAGCTGAATGTCTTTATGTTTAGATCCGTATCCTCTCGTTTACCGGGCAAATATTTTACCAATAAGCTACGAATCTCAATTCGCTAAAGCTTTACAAACTCTCGTTTATTAAATCAAAAGGAAAACCTCAACAATTGTTTGCAGTCTTCTTTTCTCACTTCTTTTCATGAGTCTTCCCCATTTCCGATGAGAATTAGAGAGACAGTGGACGGCGTGTGCCATCTCTTCTCCCCATCCCCTTCCTTACTCAGGTTTCAGAACCGGCCCTTCCACTTCTTCTTTACCCCTTTCTTCAATGTCTGTCCTTTCTGTTGTGTCCCATCCTCCTCTCGTCAATCGCTTCTTCTCTTTTTCCCCCCACAACGAACAAGTGTCCTTCACTCCTCGATCACTTCTCACGGGCTTTGGCTTTGGCTTTAGATCATTTGATTGATCAAACGTGTTTAGAACCATTATCAGAACTGTTTGAATGGTATTGTCATTTTATCAGAACTGTTTGAATGGTATTGTCATTTCTTCAACACTGTGTACACTCGAATCACTCAAATTCAGCGATAGTTTGAAAGTTTTCATCAAAATTCTCGTTTTTTTCTTATCTTCTATTCATTTTATCACTTCTTTAATCAACAAAATCTAATTTTCTTTTTAAAGATGATTGTGAACGCTAAATTATGAAGCTTTTCCCTTTTAAAAATCCATTTTCGACTTCAAAGATCTTCCTTTTGTCTCTGAAAAGCAAGAACACAAGAACAAGAACAAGAACAAGAACAAGAACAAGAACAAGACTAATCCTCATAGTTCGGCGTGACTCATCCCCAGAAGCGACAATAAGGCAAAGACAATAGAGATCAGCCGTTTTCCACTTTTTTTTTCACACATCTTGAGAATCGGGGAAGAAAAGACCAAAAATAGCAGTTAGTGGATGGCAAAAAGGAGTGGATTTTTTGGATTTGGATAGATAGAAAGAGAGAGAGAGACTGCTTGACGTGGGTCTCTCTTCTACAAGAGAAAATCATCCAATCCCTTTCCCCCTCTTCTCTGTCTGCCATCGAGCACCCGCTTTTTGACGGGTGCTCATATCAATAGTGATACGTGTTATCGATTATCTGCAAACATACGTCTATCTAGATTCTATCGCTTATCTTTTCCACAAGTGTCATTCCATTTGACCTATGCTCTTTCTTGGTTAAAGCATTTTTCGAAAAGTTTCTTCTACCGTAAGCCAGTGGCTTTTAAAATTTAAGCGATAATAGTTAAAGGATTGATTTTAAGAGGATTCATTTTTGTTGTTTTATCAGAAATTTGTTGCCACCAAGATTACGATAGTTTTCCTAAAAAGCACTTTTTAGAAAATTCCTTAATCATGTGTCTAATTCCTTTTTAAAGCATTCAATTTCTTTTTCAGGAGTGGCGGGCCATGAGCATATAATGCGATTGTCGTTCCTCCTCATCACGATACTTGGTCAAAAATGTTTAGGTAAGTTTTGTTGTTTCATTTAATGGAAAAGAGAAATTTTCAGATGCAACCGTTTCCGAATATCTCACCGAAGATGACTTTTTAAGGCCACTTTCAGGTTTGTGCGCAAAATAAATACTTATTCTGGTGTTTTGAAAGACTAATTCATTTTGATTACCTTAGAAAATGTGAAGGGATTTAATTTTAGCGGATTTAAACAGCAGAAATCTCGAAGCAATCTTTAGTAGCAATCTCGATTGCTACTAAAGAATTCTAGATCTCGATTGTAGATTGTATATATGTAGCCTTCTAGATTGTATATCTCTAGCCTTCTAGATTGTATATCTGTGGCCTTCTAGATTGTATATCTATAGCCTTCTAGATTGTATATCTGTGGCCTTCTAGATTGTATATCTATAGCCTTCTAGATTGTATATCTATAGCCTTCTAGATTGTATATCTGTGGCCTTCTAGATTACATATCTGTGGCCTGTACCCCGATAGAAAAAAGGATACCTTTTCTGAAACTTCCGTATCCCTAGCTACCGTTCATCCAAATTTTCAAGAGCTCTACATTAAGTTTTATGGATTTCTATTCAGTTTTCAGTTTAAACTTTTTAGCTTGTAGTTATTGTTAAGCACTTTTGAGTCTTGAAATCTATCAACTTATCCACCTATTTGTACCCCGATGACCTCATCTCGCAATTCTGACATCTACACAAACATAAAGCAAAGATCATCATGAGGGGTATTCCCCAACCATTCGAATCTCTTCACCCAATCCATTCCCCCTTTTCCCCCTTCTCTCTCATCCACTCCAGAAACACTAAAGATCAGTGTTTTTTTTGGGGGAATGACGCGGTGCTTGACCGCAAAAAAAGCGTCATTGGTCTGTTGTGTAATGAAATTTGATCACTTAAGTTGAACCATCCATTGAACGACACATAAAACATCTTTTAGTCATAGATACTCACTAACTAGTTCTCAACTTTGTTTACTCAACTTTCCTTGAATGAAAAGGCTTCTTTTCATGACCCAATCAAATCTACTCAGGTCAATGAATCATCCGTTCATTCACTCTTCGCAACTCTTTTTTTTTTTGATCAGCAAACATTTCTCTCCTTCATTTTCAGATGACGTCACTTTTCTCACCGACGAGGATTTCGCGAACGCCGAGAAACTCCGCAATGAAACTAGTGAGTTGGTGGGAGAATTGGGATAAAATGATAGAAAAATGATGGGAATAAAATGTCTAGACTAGTGACATTAGTGTACCGTATGCAGTCTAGTCTGTTAGCACGCATTTCAAATAAGCAGCTTCTACTGTTTTAGAAATACTTGACTTCTACTTCTACTTCTACTGTTGTTTCAAATCAGCAGCTTCTACTAAGATTTAGCTGCAAAAGGAATTGAACCGAGCAAAAAGGTGCATAGCTCGCTCTTGATACAAGCCTCTTATCCACTACACCACCGAGGGACGGTTCGGGGGAATGTGTGGAAGCCTCAAATAGCTTCGATCTATTTAATTGATTACTCAACCTCTACTCTATAGTGAATACAGTTCACAATCCATAAGTCAAGTATTTTATCTCTGAGATCTTTGGCTGTCATGGCCGACTGGCTAAGAGGAATTTCTCTCAGTCGACAGGTCCAGGGTTCAATGCCGCCGGCTAGATTATTGATTCTTTTTTTTTGGTTTCTTTCCTGCTGCTTGTATATTATTTGTACCACATTATTTTTATGAACAAAATGATACAAAATGATATCGAGACGTTTAATAGACAACAAATTCACAAATTTGCCTAATCTACTAAATCTTCTGACGAAAGTCGAAATCGAAATCGAAAGTCGAATTTTTCAGTACCAGCTTCAGTCACCCTTTCTCAACAGCCATTTCACCGAGGAGACATCCGGGGAAAAGCCGCTTGGAGACTAGTGAGCATTTTTAGACTTTATTCTTTTTTTTTTGTGTGAACCGGTTTTTGTTTTAACCATTTGAACTGATGATTAAAAATATGAGCGAATTTTGGAGGCCAAAGGGTTATTGAGTAGACAGAACCGGTTTCGAAAACGAGAGAAAGTCTCAAAATAACTGAATAACGGAAAAAAAAACATGGGAATATGTAAAGCAATTTCAATTTCAATTTCAGAAAACAAAGCGCAAAGGTGCTCGACGAAACGGAGTGATTTCGGGGGTAAAGAAATGGCCATCTGGGAGAATTCCATACGTGATTTCAAGTCAATACAACGAAAGAGAAAGAGCCGTTTTGGCAAGGAGCTTTCAGGTGATTAAAAAAAAAATGAAAACTCAAAACTGATACTAAACTTTTCTTTTCCTGACTAAAGAATTTATTCTATTCAGCTGATAAACTAGTGCAAATTTTAATTGCATATTATTGTAGTCTGTACCTACCGTAAATACTGTAATAGTACCCCACCGTACAATCGGGTAGTCGCAAAAGTTTTTTAGTATTTCATTTTTTCCAAAGCGCCCGTACTTTCAAAAAATGCGTCTTTGGTATCAAAAAATAGCCCTGAATTTCAGCTATTTTTTGATACCTAAGCGCGCACTGTAGCATAAAGGAGTGGCGAGAAAAACACGTCCAAAGCTAGACTACGCAACGCTCCGCACCGTCATTATGGGGGTGCGGTACTATTACAGTATTTACGGTATTTTATCCTAATAGCTGGATAACTTCAAAAACCATTATATTATTACAAATGAACTGAGTACACTTTTATCTCTTTTTAAACATTAATATACTTTTAGGAGTATCACAAACGAACGTGCGTCCGTTTTGCGCCAAGAAACGCCTTTGATAAAGATTATTTATATATTGGAAAAATTGACGGGTAAGAAAACGGAAACCATTGTACTATTCAAATATTAAAGATTAAATATTAAAGATTAAAGATTAAATATTAAAGATTAAATATTAAAGATTAAATGTTAATGATTAAATGTTAATGATTAAAGATTAATGATTAAAGATTAAAGATTAAATAATAATACTTTATTCAAACGATAAAGTGAAAGAAATCATAGAGAAATGCACAGTGATACTCAATCATACAATACATACTGAAATCAATAAGCCAATTACTTACGGCAAAGAGCCACTAGATCTAAAGCATCGATACGTTTCTTGAATATGAAAAGCGACTGAATTTCTCGTATGTCGTTTGGGAGCAAGTTCCATAATCTAGCGGCTCTAACGGGAAATGAATTTGATAAAGAGGCATTGGAAGCAAAGGGAATTTGCAAAAGGAATGAGCCACTTCTGGGCCCTGACCGCGGTTTAGATTTGAAAAAGTCTATAAACAAAGGGCTAATCTGTTTACAACGGAGGATTTTGAAAGTTTCGACTAAATCAATGACAAAGCGACGATGCTGTAAAGTTTTTAGTTCAAAAAAAGCAAGTCTCTCCTCATAAGTAAAGCTAGAATATTTAGAATAGTCAATTTTCCATAAAGCGACTTTTGTGAACCTCCTCTGAATTTTCTCCAAGCGTTCAATAAAGACTTGTGCGCGGGGAGACCAAACAATAGAAGCATATTCTAAGATGGGCCGGATATAAGTCGTCAAGCATTTGCGGTAAGAGTTTAGGTTAGGATGAACAATTGATTTGAGAATACGGCTAGAAACAAAAGAAGCTTTTCGACAAATGATTTTAAAGATTAAATATTAAAGATTAAATGTTAATGATTAAATGTTAAAGATTAAATATTAATGATTAAATGTTAATGATTAAATGTTAAATATTAAATATTAAATATTAAAGATTATATATATGCTTTATTCAGTTGAATAGCGACAAGACAAAATGACAATAATTACCCGGGACACCACTCAAAACACACCCAAAAGATAAATAGATACCTCAAGAAAGAATCATAAAGCAGTCAAATCAATTGCCGAAATTGCGGCTTTAAATCTAGCCAATGTGGAAATATCACGAACATGAGGGGGTAAAATGTTCCAGAATTTAATAACTCGATTAAAAAAGAAACTGTGGATTAAATATTAAAGATTAAATATTAAAGATTAAATATTAAATATTAAATATTAAATATTTATATAAATACTTTATTCAGAAAGAAATAAAGTGCGAAAACGACATGAAAAATGTACTAGATAAAAGATCACAAAGTCACTTAAAATGCAAGGAAATAGCCCTTTTAAAATCAGACACGGTGGAGATCAAACGCAACTTGTCGGGAAGGGCATTCCAAACTTTAGTCACACGATTTACGAAAAAAGCTCTAGAGGATTTAGAGAAAGCAGATTCGGGATGCAAGATAAAAGAGCCACGCCTAGTCGCCAAAAGCCTCGAGTTTAGTCGAAAAAGATTTTTAAAAAGAGGATTTTGATGTTTTCCTTTTACAATTTTAAAGCACTCAACCAAATCTATGATAAGATTAATTATTAAATATTAATTAAATATTAAATATTAAATATTAATTAAATATTAAATATTAAATATTAATTAAATATTAAATATTAAATATTAAATATTAAATATTAAAGATATTACAGTAATTATTCTTGAAGCACCCCCTTATAATGATCGCCGGAGCGTCATCTAGTCTAACTTTAATCCCCTCATTCTCAGCGCCCCTTTTAAGCTACAATGTTCGTTTAGGTATCAAACGATAGCCCCAAATCTCAGCTATATTTTAACACTAAAAATGCATTAAAAAATATGAGAAACAATGAATTACCGAAAAAGACTGTAGGGGTGCTTCTATTAGAATAATTATATCAATTATATCAATTCTAAAATACCAATGAAGGTTAAAAATCAATTATATTAATTATAAAATTAATATCAATGATTTACAGGTGTTTTTCTGATGTTGGTCGAGCTGGGGGAAGGCAAGAGTTGTCATTGGATGATGGATGTTTACAAGTGAGTGATAAAGAAAGAGATTTCTTTTCTGAAATTACTGAAACATTCCCTATCTGGCACACTCGATCATCTCAAGATTATCATAATATTCTTGAAAAAAATAAGCAAAGAGGGTGTTTTAAGAGGCTAGGGAGGGTGTTTTAAGGCAAAGTACTTTCCTGAAAGTACCCGTACCACTGAACTGTACTTGTACTGTTACTAGAAATATACTTGTACTGTAAAATGCTGAAATTTCTTCAGCAGAGTAGCATATTGTACTGTAAAAGTACTGTAAAAGTACAATATGCTACTCTGTTATAGAAGTTGTTAGAGAGAAAAATGACTGTTGAAATTAGAAATAATAATATAACAACCGAAATTTCATTTGCCTTCTATAGCAAATGCCATTTGGTCACCTTGGCCACTTGGCCCACTTGGCCTTTCCTTTCCTTAATTCCTTTCCTTTCCTTTCTTCTATCAATAACTAGTCCAATTTTTGAATTATCCATCTCATCCCCATCATGGTTAGAGTGGTGTTTCTATTTCATTTTTCGGTTCCAATACGGTTCCAATACGGTTCCAATACGGTTCCAATTTTGATCTAATACGGTTCCAATTTTGATCTAAAACGGTTCCAATACGGTTTCAATACGGTTCTAATACGGTTCCTATTATAATCCAATACGGTTCCAATACGGTTCCTATAGGATCCAAGACGGTTCCAATGCGGTTCCAATACCGTTCCTATTTTAATCTAATACGGTCCCAATACGGTTCCTATTTTGATCTAAAAATGTTTTATTTTCCAGTACGACACAGCCATTCACGAGTTGATGCACTCGGTTGGTTTCTATCATGAACACGAGAGATGGGATCGTGATCAGCATATATCAATTCTATGGCATAATATTGATCGAGGTTTGATGGTTTGATGCATGGAAATGTTTTTAATCTTAAAGATAATCCAAATAATCCAATCAACAGTTAAATTTTAGATGCCTACGATCAATTTGGGAAAGTTGATTTATCGGAGAGTTCCTACTACGGTCAACCATACGATTATCACTCGATTATGCACTACGATAGCCTGGCTTTCTCGAAAAACGGATATGAGACAATGGTAGAAATTTTTTGAAAATGAAATCAATCTTTAAATGGCTAAGAGCCTTGTATTTTACTAGGGAAAGACTTCAAATTAGCATTGATTTGGGATTTAGAAAAACGAAAAAGAAACGAAACGAAAAAGAAAGCAAGAAAGCAGTAAGGCCACTTTGAAATTCTAAGGAATACGTTTTTTAATTTTTAATTAATTAATTAAATAATTTTATTAATTGCTCCATCATCCAGTTTTCGAGAAAAATGTTTTTAAAGTTTGGGCACTTTTTTGAATAAACGCTGCCACCGTGGTATAACTCTGAATTACTTCGGGCTTCGTGTAGTGATTGAGTGGTGCAGCGGCTAGCATCCTTGACCCTCGCTCTCTTCGGCCTTGGTTCGAATCCCGTCGCTGTCAAGACATCCTCCCTTTTTCGTCGAAATCATTTTTTTTCTATAAACAGAAGCTTGTGCTTGTTTGTACCACATTATTCGTGTGAATGAATTCTTTGAATGTGAATGAATAATCTTCATGCAATTTTCAGGTGGCTAAGAGAGCCGAGATGACATCGGTCATTGGAAGTGCCATCGATTTCAGTCCGGTAACAACTTTTAATTGCAAACTTTTAAATGAAAAACTGAAATATTGCAGGTGGATTTGGTGAAGATCAATTTGATGTACGGATGCACTGAGCAATCACCGCTGACCGCCATTTCTCCGAACACACAAGTCAGTGGATTGAGCTCAAGGGAACTGGATAATACAAAAAACAAAACATTAGCTTATTAGAAACGACTGTAAAGGAAAGTCGGAAGTCGGGCGGAAAGTCGCGGAAAGTCGCGTAGTCGGGGAAAGTCGCGGAAGGGTCGTTTGGGCGGAAAGTCGCGTAGTCGTTAATCATTTTACTGATAGTTTTACTGATCATTTTACTGATCATTTTACTGATCATTTTACATTTTAATGGTTCTGATACACTTGAAGCTTTTGAAAGCAGAAATATAAATTGTTGAAGATCTATAGAAGGCAAAAAGTGTGTTTTTTTTTATTTTCGAACGGAGGTTTGAAAGTTTTTACATAAAACTGGGCTTTGTCATTGACCGATCTCGTTTCCAGATCGCTCCAGCCGTCATATCGCCGGCTCTTCCCGTGTCGGTTGGTGGAGTGAAGCCGATCATCACTAGCTCCTCTCTCGGCTCGTCTTTTGGATCTCTTTCTTCACTCACATCCCTCGGTTCATCAATGGGAACTCTTGCCAGCACATCGATGTCTGGAGATCAAGGTTTTTATCGAGATATTCAAATTTAAGACTTTAAGACAGAATGTCGCGATCGAACGAATCTCTGTTGGCGGTGGCTCGATCGATGCAAATCGTTCTTTTTCGAGAAAATCATGAAAGAGTTTTGTGCGCTTTCTTGCGGGTGAGTGGAAAATCACTAAGCAACCGTAACCAATAGCCACAATCTATTAAATATCGCTATAAGTAAATCAAAAGTTTATAGAAGAGGGTTGACTGGCAGAATTGAGCTACAAGTGAGTTATGACTTTGAGTTAAGGGTTTTGAAACTAAAAGCAAGCTAGATAGTAAACTGAACATTCCCAATCGATTCCCCGACCCCGAAAACCACTTGATACAAATTTACAGCTTAATATCTTTAATCTATACCATTTACAATACAAAACAAATCCCTGTAAATGATCTGGAAGGTGTTCTTTATGTGGCCTGGTAATCGATCGTCATCTGGCGCACGGTCCTGATAGATGGCTGTTTCCCCTTAGAGCTTTTTCAAGAGCGAGGAGAAGTTTATCCCCGAAAACAAATCTATGCAAAAGCGAAATTGTTCTTTGTGAGGCCGCGTGATCGCTCGCTATCTGGCGCACGGTCCCGATAGATAACCTTTTCTTTGGAGGCTTTTTAAAAGAGCGAGGAGAGGTGGTCATCGACTGAGCAGTCACCCGTTTTGCTCCGTTACTATGCCCAATTCCCGTGCAGTCTCCTTACCACAAATTTGGCCACGCTTCCGCCATACTTTTGCCATAAATTCTACATCCTGTTAAACCAATATCCACAGTCAAACAACCGAAATCCAGATACTGTACTCCGTTGTCCGTCTCCCCAATGGCGAGCGTGGCTCGGGAATCGCCGCGTCCTCTTTATCAACGACTTGGATAAAACAAAAGAAAAAAGCTCATTAAACCCATCCATATCACATTTCTTTCATACAATTCACCTCACTGCGTTGTTTTTTTGTCTTTTTTTTCGTCATTTTGTGGGTATTTCTCAATATGAGACCAATTTTCGTGTTGCCGGCTTCGATTTTTATTTTCTTTCCAAAAACTGATCACACCGGTGTATTTTGTCTGTCTCGTGATCGCTAGTCACTTTTTGTTGTTAGTATTGGAAAATTTCTTCTAGAAAAAAAAATGAGAACAATGCATATTGTAGGCTGAAATTACCGTTTTCCGTAAGCCTAGCCCGTCGCGTTCTCTTAACTGAATATTTTGATTTCTTTAAAGAATGCTCTTTAGCAGCTTTTCCCTAGGATACGGTACTCAATTAAGAATATGAAATATGGCTACTACAGTATGTTTCTCTGTTTTCTACGATGTTTCTCTGTTTTCTCTGTTTTCTACGATGTTTCTCTGTTTTCTAGAAAGTGCCCTTAAAAAGCTACCGTACTCCAAAATGTCTTATGGTAAGCTTTAACAGAATTACGGTAGCTACTTTACCGGGATACGGTAGCTTTTTTCTGGTGAAACGAAACAAGTGATCGTCTACCGTACTCATTAATTTATTTCTTTTTTTCTTTTTTTTCTTTTTTTCTTTTTTTGCTTTTTTGCTTTTTTTGCTTTTCTTTTTTTGCTTTTCAATTAAAAGATAAAAGTTTTTTTTATAAGATTTATTGAATCGCTCGAGAGAGAGAGAAATGCCAAGAGATGGACATGCTTTTAAAACTCTAAAGTAAAAAAAGGAAAGTACTTTGAAAAAAACGTAAAAGAGAGCACAAAGGATAAATGATCCATATGCAAATCTCATATGAAAATGAAAATGAAAATTTTAGGGGTTAAAGCTAGCAATGATCTTGTAAGAGCATGATTACATTGTGTAAAGTTCTAAAAAGGAGACCCGGATATGATAAGCATCAAGATTTTTGTGGATATTTGGGTGATGATTTGAATGTTTCAATATTTCAATTATTGTATACAAGTAAATATTGAGAAATTGGGAAAAAGAAATAGAAATCATTGACTAAAATGCAAATTTGAACCGCGATGGAAAGGGTGATAGAAATTGAAAAGAGAGGATCGGCTCTATCTAGATTTTCTCTTAGTCTTTGCCTTTCAAAATCTTCTAATTATCTTTAAAAATACTGTAAATCTTATTCTGAATCTTTTCCTGTAATCTAGTAGCCAGTAAGTTGAATAACTAGTAGTCTACAGTAGCCAGATTACAGTAGCCAGTAGTTGAATAACTAGTAGCCTACAGTAGCCAGCTTATAGTAGCCAACAGTTGAATAACTAGTAGCCTACAGTAGCCTGATTACAGTAACCAGTAGTTGAATAACTAGTAGCCTACAGTAGCCTGATTACAGTAACCAGTAGTTGAATAACTAGTAGCCTACAGTAGCCAGCTTATAGTAGCCAACAGTTGAATAACTAGTAGCCTACAGTAACCAGCTTATAGTAGCCAATAGTTGAATAACTTCCAAGTTCAACTGAACCTAAAGATATTCATGACACCTGGAGTACTGTCGGCTTTAATCCTTAATAACTTCTTTGAATCTTTGAGTACTTTAGCCTTCAACTACTGGCTTCTTAATAGTTTCTTTTAAAGAATATTCAACTCATTTCATTTCTAGAGCCAAGCTTTTCAATTCATTTCTATTCGCCGGCAATCTCCTCTTCGAACCAACCAATCAGAAAAATGATCGTAAAACCGCACAAGAAACCCAAAATCTAAAGTTGACTGATTGATTTTGACTTCTTTATAAAAACCCAAAGTTTTATGTAAATATTTCACATTTTCGTACATTTCATTTAACAGTTGTGTAAAGAAAAAAGGATAAACCTGTAAGAAACACGTAAGCCCTGTATTGCTCTCGTTTCCCATTCCCGTCTTCAAATGGCTTAACTAAAGAAAAAAAGAAAACTCTTCACGGTGATACTTTTTGCATTTTAACTTCTAACAAAAATAGTTGAAAATATTTTTAAAAACTGTTCAACACGAACCATATCAATCCATGCCACATAGAGAAACATCCCAGCTGTGATCGCTAAAAGCCAGGGAATCGCTGCCTAAAGTCAAAGGTCTATAAGTCAAAAGTAAAGTTGTTAACAGTCAAAAAAAAAACGTGAAATTTCTAAAGTAAGACTAAAATTCTAAGCTAAAGTAAGATTTTAGAGGATTTTAGGCGATTTTAGGCTAAAGTTAACGATAGAAATCTAACGATAGAGTTAACGATAGAAATCTAATGATAGAGCTAACGATAGAAATCTAACGATAGAGCTAACGATAGAAATCTACGATAGAAATCTAACGATAGATCCCAGATCAAGATCATTTGAAAGTCATTTGTTTTGACTTTTGCTTTGACTTTTGTTTTAAATCTTAGTTGAAAGCGAATGTTTGATACCCCAAAATGAACAGCTGCAAAGCCGAGAAAAAGGCCAATGAAAGCGGTGAGTGCTGAGATAAAATTCAAGAAGAGAGCTTTTGCCATCGAGAGACCCGACTCGAGGAGAATTGCCATATCACCTGAAATAAATCTTTAGCTCAAACATACAATGAGATGGCCACTACAAGCTACAAACGTAAACTACAAAGTAAACTACAAAGTAAACTACAAAGTAAACTACAAAGTAAACTACAAAGTAAACTACAAACATAAACTACAAACATAAACTACAAAGTAAACTACAAGCGCTTCTAACTGGCTTTAAATCTGCTAGATTTATATGATCTGTAGTTCACAGAGGATTTAAAGAGCTTTCGAATGAACTAAAGTACTCAAAAATATCAGCGCTATAGAAATCAGTGGGTTTTTGAGTCCTTTGATTGCTTCAACTACGCGCAAGTACGTTTGTAAGTCATAAAGCTTTAACGTTGAAAATTTCAAACCAAGCTCATGCGGCAACTCGTGACACATCACAGCCACCGATGTCGAGATGCCGAGTTGAGTCGAAGCGACAAATGAGGCACCGATCGCGATCCCGTCGATCAAATTGTGCACCTAGAAATGAAAATATTTAGAAATAAATTTCAAGAGAAACTTTCAAGAAAGAAAACTCACTCCATCTCCAAGCAGAATAAGCATCGCAGTCGATCGAATTCCCCAACAAACGACTGGTGCTCGTCGATCGACGACATGTGAGGCTCGACGGGTAACGATTAGACTGAAATTCGTGAAATTCGTGAAAATTAAGATAAAGATAAGGTAAAGATTGTAGGTTATTGAAAATATAATATATTTTAACTCTATTTTTTAAAAGCTTACTCAGTTGAGCTCGATTCACTGGCGGTTTTTGATGGAAGCGAGAGTGGTGGCGGGGCTTGACTCATTCGTCTCTTTAAAGTTCAATTTTAATAATAAGATTGATGATTCGAGATTTATTCTTAAATAGATTATAAAAGATCATCTATTTATAAGATAATCTATTTATAAGATCATCTATTTAAAAGCTAATCTATTTAAAAGCTAATCTATTTTAAAGCTAATCTATTTAAAAGCTAATCTATTTAAAAGATAATCTATTTAAAAGATAATCTATTTAAAAGATAATCTATCTAAAAGCTAATCTATTTAAAAGATACTCTATCTAAAAGATACTCTAAAAGATCCTCTATCTAAAAGATCCTCTATCTAAAAGATAATCTATTTTAAAGACACTCTATCTAAAAGATAATCTATCCAAAAGATAATCTATTTTAAAGCTTAATGATCAAAGATTTCAATAAAACAAACAGCAGGGGAAAAGCCGGCAACAGCTCTTTCAATCGCGTCGTCTGAAACGGAGAGATCGTTCGCCTTTTCGAGATTTCCATGCTAAATTCATTCGAGATTTCATTGATTACATTGAATATTAATTGATAATATTCAAAAGGTTTCCTTTAAAACCTACAACATTTGCTGTTGTTCCTTGTTTGATGGCGTAAATCAACTCACAAAAGTAGAGCACCATCACCAAAAACACTGCTGTCCCCATCTAAATCAGAAAATTCGTTTCTTTTAGGCTTCTTTTATTTTTGTTGTTCGGTTTTTCCGGATATAAATAAGTGTTGCTAAACTTATTGTTGTGAGAGAAGCTTTTAAAAGATGTCTTTATTTGTATTTAAAAGTATTGTTGTAAGAGAAGCTTTTAAAGCATGTCTTTATTTGTATTTTTTTAAAGTATTTATCTTTTCCATATTTGGAATCTTTTTAAACGGATAATTTCTTATTTTTAAGTTCTTTTTTCTTGCTTTAGATGACCGAGTTTAAATAAATTAAGTCCGCGTCTGCCTACTTTACGACTTCAAACTAGGCAAAACAGCCGCGGAATCCCATCGAGATTTGGTCAAAGCATTTGGAAATGATGTATTGCCCGAAAGCCGATGCCGAGCCTGGTTCCGACGCTTTCGGAAGCGTTGGAACCAGGCTGATGAAAGTGATAAAAGTTTCGGGTGATGGAAGTCTCGAGGATGATGAACGCTCTCGTCGACCTCAAGCGGTAGACAAAGATAGTTTGAGGGCTGCAACGATACTTTGAGGACAAATCGGATCCATGTTAAATGACGCGTGAACTGGCTCAACAGTTTCTATGTTCAAATTCTACTATTGATGAGCAGCTCCAAGCCATTGGAAAGAAGATCTGATGCGGGAAAGAAGATCAGATGCTGGAAAGAAGATCTGATGCGGGAAAGAAGATCTGATCTGGCTTCCTCACGAGTTAAGCAGTGCAAACGCTCGTTTAGATCCGAACAACCGACTATTTTAAAATCTTAACTTTATTCTTTCTCTATAGAATAGATTTTAAATTCGAATCTAATAGTAAAAGCTATTCTTTTCTTAAATTTACCTTGCAAAGACGGTCTCGATCTTCCGTGTACTCGAAAGGGCCACGTTTTCGTTTCTGAAACAAGAGTTTCTTTTGTGATTGTCGATATTGAATTAATATTTCAATTACCTGATGTTCTCCTCCTTCTTCATCATCTTTTTCATGATCTGACTAAAAATTATTAAAGTTTTATGAAAAAATTTTTAAACTAACATGTCGTTTCTTTCGGAGAAGACCCGGTGAGCGCTTTACTTCAGCGACACCTGAATGAGTTTTGAAAATTCGGAAAAAACACTAAATAAATACAAAAGAATAAAAAAAAAAAAAAAAAAAAAAAAAAAAAAAAAAAAAAATAATAAAAAAAAAAAATAAAAAAAAAAAAAAAAAAAAAGGGGGGGCGTTTGAGTTTGTTGGGGGGGGTTGAATAAGTGTTTTTTGATTTTTGGTTTTTTTTGTATGTTTGTTTTTTTTTTTTTGGTTGTAGGGTGGCTGTTTTTTGGAGGGTTTAGTTTGTTTGGGGTATTATATTCGTTTAAAGAAAGGCTTAATCCCCAAAAACCTAAATCAATCGAGTGATCTTTATACAGCTATTAGATGTTTTTTATCAAGCTGTAGAAAAGCTTCTTTGATTGGGTTAAGGCCTAAAAGTAAGCCTGAAATCTGTAGTAGGCTTACTAGCCTAAAGCCTAATAGTCCGTAAAATCTGTAGTCCGTAAAATCTGTAGTCCGTAAATGAATACCGTATTTTCTCTAATAGTAGTGCACCCTGAGCGTTGCCTAAATTGGTCGAAATCTCGAGAACCGCTTATCAGAACCTATCAATGTGGGGTCGGAAAATGTAGCTGACGATGAGATCTTGTAGGGGATTTGAGTGTTGAGCTTCTGTGAAAACTTGGAAACCGTAAAATAGTGATCAACTCGGCTTGGCGGAGTGCACTACTATTAGAGAGAATGCGGTAGTTAAAATGTAAAAACTAGGTCAAAATCGGAGAAATTTTTGAAAGAAAAACTACCGCATCGTTTTTATGATAAAGGCAATTGTTTGTCAATGGGTTTTTTTTCTTAAAGAAACCTTTAAATTTATTGTTTTTGATGATACTTTAAGAAAAAAGCGGCTCTTTTTTGAAAGAGTCCTAAATTTCCCAAAAAAAATCCCCCACTTTTCAGCACAATCTCCTTTGGGATGCGGCGAAACACGAGAGACAAGAAACAAGAGACTTTTCCTAGAGACTTACTTGAGTTTTCCGATAGATGTGCCTCATGTGAGTGATCATCGTTTGCAGCGGTAGAATTGAGAGCGACAACGGGTTTTTCTAAAATCAAAGTCATGAAACTATTGGGTTGGGGAGAATGAGTCGGCGCCGAAAATGAAAAAAATGTCTAAAACTTCTATTCGACTTCGTCAAATAATATGCGTTTGATATGAGTAGAATGGTTAACTAATTCTCTACAAAATGACATTTAAAAGAAAATTCAAACAGCGCCTCCGCTAAAGAAAAAGCTATTTTTTCACAAAAACTACAAACTGTGATCTAGAAAAAACCATTGGTGGGATCTTCCTGCAAATTTGGCAACTTAAGTAATTGAATGTGCTCTATCTTTTTTATATAAACACCAAAGAAGGTTTATGTGAAAGAAACTGTTCAAATGATGAGTCGGACTCTTTGCCATTTTAACCAGCTGCGTTTGGAAGTTCATAAACTCCACGAAAGAAAAGCTTTGTGGAATCTCTCAAAAGTGATTTTGTAGAGAAATAGTGGATCCTTTTGATGAAACCAAACGTATGTTTAAAGAAGGCTTTATGTGTGCAAAAAGTCCCTTTAAAGTTTGGCGCCGACTCATTCTCCCCAACCCAATAGAAACGAGACTAATTACAGTTTGCTTTTGTCTACAATTTCTACAATTGCAAATACTTACGAGGGATTGTCTGTGCTTTGCCGTGTCCACCGTGTCCATGCGAATGCACACCAATCGCGTCAGGAATCAGATGCATAATGGCGTCAGCCGAGAGAGTCGCCACTGACATCGCGATGAAGAAGTGGAACCTGCAATGGGACTTCAGTTTTTGAGAATTTTGAGATCAGATGAGATTAGAGGAGTTTTGCAGAAATTTTTCCAACCATCTCCTCTTCGTTTTCCCGGTGAGAAACGGTAAGAAGAGGCCACCAAGAACGGACATCAAAGAGACGACGAACACTGCCACACAACCCCAGATAATGCCTGGAATTGTGAAGGTAATTGGATATATATATTAAATCACAAATTCTACTAGACATGGTCAAATAAATGAATAACATAGAAAAAGTACGGTAGAAGAGCTTTAGTTAGGCTTAGTTTTAGTCTAGAAACAATCTTGGCTTGGCTAGGCTTGGCTAGGCTTGGCTTAGAAAATCAGCTTAGAAACAATCTTGGCTTGGCTTAGGTTAGTTTAGAAAATCTGCCTAGAAACAACCTTGGCTTGGCTAGGCTTGGCTAGGCTTGGCTAGGCTTGGCTAGGCTTGGCTAGGCTTGGCTAGGCTTGGCTTAGAAAATCAGCTTAGAAGCAACCTTGGCTTGGCTAGGCTTGGCCTAGAAAATCAGCTTAGAAACAACCTTGGCTACAAGTTTAGAATATTCAATTAATCTTTTGTTTTCTATTTGACACTAGCAGGGCTAAAGGTAAGTCCAAAGCTCTATTTGATATTTGATTTTATAAAAAAAAAACTCTTTAACTCACTGGACACTTTGACGCCACCAGCTTCACCCAAATCCACGGCATCCATTTCGAAACAAATCAGCAGTAAAAATGAATAGAAATAACAGACGTTGACACTGTAGGACAGATCACTAAAATGTTTGAACTTTTTGATCGTATGGCAACTGCAGGGAGAATTTATTCAAGACTCGTCAAATAAAAAGAGCGTAATTTCGAGATTAAAGGAGAAAATTGAGGAAGAGGTTTAAAAAAAAACTTTAGAAAGAGAGAAAGAGTTCCTTTTTTGATTTTTAGAGAAAATGGGAAATGTAAAGGAAGACTCTTAAAGAATAAAAACAGTCTACAAAGAATGGACAGAGAAAATGAAATCGAAGGGAAGGAGTGAATGAAAGCAAAGATCACAAAAATTGGTTAAAGATTGGGATGATTGATGGAAAAAAAGGAGTTGATGTTGATCGAAGGTGTTGAGCATGATTGGTGTGAACTCAAAATTTGATTGTTGTAAGCTGCCAATGTTTTGTTAAAGCTGTGTTAAGCTGTGTTAAGTTGTTAAGCTGCCAATTGTTCCCAGTGGATTGTTTAGTCCAATCCTCCTGAAAACCAGAAGAATCGATTGACTAAAGCTTGTCTGGCTGGCTTGTCTAGTATGCTTTTGTACTAATATTTTAGCAATCTTTTCTAGAATTGAATCGGTTGCAGAAGTAAAGCATAAAAACCTATCCTGGCTGCAATCAAACATATGTCGGTGTAGCTCATTGGTAGAGTGTTCGAGAGGTCGCGGGTTCGAGTCCCGGCACCGACCATGTCACAGCCTCAACCCATAAAAGAAACAGCATGTTTTAGACAAGGTAATTTAGAAGTTATTGTCAGTGGAAGGGGCAGAAACTAAAAACCCAAGCTCAGAAGTAATACTGTCATTTCTAGTAAAGTTGAAAAGTAAGGAAAATAAGTTTAAGCACTAATCAAAAGAAAATAACAAAAAATAAAAAGTTTATAGAAAAATTGAGTAGAACAAAGTGGAAACTAAACCTGTAATTCAGTAAGATTCATTTCAGTCTAGTGAGAAAGGTTTAATTCCAGCTCACTGGGATGATTGGACTAACAAATCAGAATTGTGAGTTGGTGACTAGAGAAAAGCTCGAATTCAAGATGAGAATGCTAGAAGTTGCTTTAAAAGAAAAACAAAAACAAAAAGCTGCAGCAGGGACCGAACCCGGATCTGGTGAGCGAAAGCCCAACGGGTTATCCACTAGGCCACCACCGAACCCTTTTCTCGTCTAGGAAAGAGCATTTTAAAGCATCAGTTTGACGCCAAATTTTTGTTGAACTTGAAGAAAAACTATCGATGGATATTGGGAAAGGTTTTCGTGTTTATATGACAAATGCTCAAAGAATGGAGATCAGAAAATCCTTTGACGCGGAGAGTTCGGCTGAGAGGATCAGCATTTCTCTCGTTCACGAAATGGGCGACAATTGGGGGAATTGCTATAGAGAAACGAAGAATGATATTTGAATGGAGTCTCTCTAACCAAATTCGATCATCGATTCCCCTTTCAATCCACGTGAATACCTCACCTCGAAATGTTTTCGATGCAAATCTCTCACTCTTTCACTGAACGCACCCGGATTGAACGAAAAGTCGAGTCTCTTTCCGGTCAGAGGAAATCGAAAATGCTAATCACTCTTTTTTCTCTCTCTCTTCAATTCTCTTTCTAGAATACAGATCAAAATGTTTGTGATGAGAGCAGAAAATCGAAAATTCGAGTTTTCTTTGGATAATTCGAGTTTTCTTTGGACAATTCGAGTTTTCTTTGAACAATTGAACAACAGAAAACCAACAATTCGAGTTTTCTATCAAAATTTTAAATATTATAATGTAAAGATTGATAATTGATGAATAAAAGAACAATGAAATTTTTCTTAAAATCTCCTGAAGAAAGTTATTTTATAAGATCTCTACGTTTTTTTTGTTTTCTTTTTTCAACAAAAATGAGAAACAACAACTTTTCTTTCTCAAATGAGTCATTCAAGAAAAATTTGATTGATTGATTGATTTGATCGAAAAATTTGATTTATTTGATGGAACAGGGAAATCAAAATTGCAGAAAAAGTTTTTAAAAATAAGTTCAAGAAAAAAGAAACAAAAATGAGTAATCGTTGAAGAATGTCGATAAATGTGCAACGAGGTACATACGATTTAGATCTTCTCCGTTCTCGAAAGGGAAGCTACACTACTGGACAACGAAATATCATATTTGAAAAAAGATCGTCACTTTCGCGCGTCTGTAACTCCCTTGTCTTTACCGTATTTCTAAATATTAATATTACCATTGTGTAGCCGTTGAAAAGAGCTTTTCAGAAAATGTATAACACTAATTGTTTAAACTCAAAGACAATGGAGTTACAGATGCGCGAAAGTGACGATCGTTATTTATTGTCCAGTACTGTACATACGATTTAGATCGACATTTGAGTTTTGTGTAGCAGATTGGCAAGAGTAGCAAGGTAGCTAGATTCGATTTCAATTCGATTCCATTTAGATCAAGAGCTAGATTCGATCTAGATCAAAAGACACAAGTGTGGACGAATCTGTGCACTTTCAAGGATACAGTAAGCTTTCAGAATGATTTTCTTTTCTCAAGAAAACACGTTTCAAATCTCGAGCGTATCTACTAAGCTAAAGTTGAAGTGGGCAAGGGAAAGTTGAAGTTGAAATGACTTCTCGCAATCGTTGATCGACGGAAAATCGCAGGCATCAGCCACTTGTCTCTTTTTGGTGTTGTGCTGTTTTTTTGGAGGAGGGGTTTATATCAAATTGATACCATGAATGGAGTTTTGCAGTCAAATTTAGTTCTCTTAAATTTTCTTTATCAAGCTTTAACATTTAGGCTTATCGAAAATCGGTTTGAATCGGTGAAAAGCGATTTTCTTTTCTCCCTTCTCAAGAGACATCATTTCTTTTTCGTTTTATATATATGCTTTATTCAGGGGGGCGAATAGAAGCGAATCAGATAATTAGATAATTAGATAATTAGATAATTAGATAATTAGATAATTAGATAATTAGATAATTAGATAATTAGATAATCAGATAATTAGATAATTAGATAATTAGATAATTAGATAATCAGATAATCAGATAATTAGATAATTAGATAATCATAACCGTATATAACATATTGCTATAATACTTTCACAGGAAACACAGGTACAAAAAGAAATATAGAAGATTAAATATAGGGCAGATTTGACATGGCAATAAGATCTAATTCGTTTACAGATACTTTCAATTTTCCTACAGACGAGAAGATACATGATAGATTGCAACTCTTTGGTCTTGAAATGTTACACCAACGCCGTCTTATCATCGATTTAGTGGAATGCTTTAAAATTGTTAAAGGCATTCATCCCGACCCCCTTTCTTCTGGTCTCTTTGAATTCGGCTTTCTACGGGGCGCCTCCAGAATAATGTTACTCTGATTACTACTCCAGAAGCCTCCAGAAGCCTCCAGAAGGCCTTTTCTCATACGCCAACCTTCCGTTTCCTCTAAAAGCCCCCACAGTTTCTTTTTTAATCGAGTTATCGAGTTATTCTGGAACATTTTACCCCCTGATGTTCGTGATATTTCCACCTTGGCTAGATTTAAAGCCGCAATTTCGGCAATTGATTTGACTGCTTTGTGATTCTTTCTTGAGGTATCTATTTATCTTTTGGGTGTGTTTTGAGTGGTGTCCCGGGTAATTATTGTCATTTTGTTTTGTCGCTATTCAACTGAATAAAGCATATATATGTTGTGTCCGATTTAGATTTCCGTCCGATTTAGATTGAACTTATCGCGGACGTCCGATTTAGATTACAGTCTATATCGGACGTCCGATACAGATTGAACAATAATAAACGTGCTTAATATATGTTCTTCAGCGTTTTTTTGCAATTTTCTGCGCTTTTCAAAGAAATTTTCAAAGAACATATGTTAAGCACGTTTATTATTGTTCGATCTGTATCGGACGTCCGATATAGACTGTAATCAATAAAAGACCTTTGAAAAATGCAGAAAACTACAGAAAACGCTTAAGAACATATATTAAGCATGTTTATATTATTGTTCAATCCATATAAGATTTAGATTGAATCTAAATCGGACGTCCGATATAGACTGTAATCTAAATCGGACGTCCGCGATAAGTTCAATCTAAATCGGACGGAAATCTAAATCGGACACAACATATATACCAGACGGAAGCTTATTCCGAACCCTATTAATATGGTTCGCAAAAGAATGACAAAGGGAAAGATGGGGATGAGAACCGACCGAGTTTTGCATAAATAAAACGGTAAACTCAGTTGAATAGGAGTCATCTTTGTAGAAGCATCGCACAAATTTGAATACAGATCAAATTTACGTTTAAACATTTCATTCGTAAACGGCTAGCCGGCTTACGAATGCTTTTGTAAACGGCTACAACATATAGATTTCTTTCATATGTAATTAATTTAGAAATCTTTATGTAATTGTACTTAGATCTAAACTCAATCTTTAATACTTTAAAGAAATTAATGCTATAAATCTAATGTTCATCAATAAATCTAAAATACATTTAAATAAACATTACACTTACCGTAAATACTGTAATAGTACCGCACCCCCATAATGACGGTGCTGAGCGTTGCGTAGTCTAGCTTTGAACGAGTTTTTCTCGACACTGGTTTATGCTACAATGCGCACGTAGGTATCAAAAAATAGCCCTGAATTTCAGCTATTTTTTGATACCAAAGACGCATTTTTTGAAAGTACGGGTGCTTTGAAAAAAATGAAATTGTTAAAAAACTTTTGCGATTACGCTTCCCTATAATGACGGTCGGAGCGTCGCCTAGTCTAACTTTAAACGCATTTTTCTCGCCACTCCTTTATGCTACAATGCTCGCTTAGGTATCAAAAAATAGCTGAAATTCAGGGCTATTTTTTGGTACCAAAGACGCATTTTTTTGAAAGTACGGGTGTTTTGAAAAAAATGAAATTGTTAAAAAACTTTTGCGATTACGTGACTGTACGAGGGGGATGAGGT